AATACTGCAGAAAATTCTTCTTGAGACCACTTCAGCACAAGCATAAGAACAAAGAGCATGTCGAAACAATTAAATCTCTGGCTAATATTGCTTAGATATTTACTGCTTTAAAATCAGACTTTCAAGATGGCTGCCACGAATAACGCTGCATGTAGTTGGAGTGGAAAGTTGTGCACTTAGTTTTTGTCATTCGCTTAATGCTGAAAAACAGAGTGGAAAAAACAAGCTTAAAAAATTTAAAGGGAGAGACTGGACAAGATACACATATTAATTCTGTTATTTCTTAAAACCGGTTCCATTTTACCGCAACAGCTGGATGTTCAGAATCGAGTCTGAGTGACCTGTTAATTTTTTTTTTTAAATAGGAAAACAAGAATAATCTTTATGAAAAAAGTGAGCATACAGAAGGATAATGCTTAGGCTCAGATAAGCATGAGCTGTGTTGTGCTACCAACAAGGGGAAAGAGAAGTGAGGATATTAAGACACTGAGGCATCTGTGATGTCTGTTCTATTCAACTGGCTTCCTTTGCTCAGTCACAGTTTCAGAAAAGCAGCCCACAGTTAAGCTGGCCCTTTACAGCAGGACCATATTCCATGCAGTGGGCAGTAAGAATACAATTATTCAAACAATACCCTCAGCAGAGGAATGCACCTTGAATTTTCATTCTGCATCTCACCAACAGAAAAATATAAATGTCAAAGAATAGAAACATCTAATTTTCTGAATTTTATTTATATGCACTCTGGATGAAGCAAGGCAGTTTAGGAGAATGAGATGAGACAATAGAAAGCACTCAGAGCAAATCCCAGTATCAGACACTGCTTTACACAGTTTAAGAGACAGTATTAATTACACTAGACAATAAAACAGGAATAATTCCTACTGGTATACTCTACTGCTGCTTACAGAATTAAATTGCCATAAAAAGGCCTGGCCATAATTTCTAGAGTGAAGAGTCAGTCTGAGTTGACTTCAGCTCAACTTACCATGTACCCAAGGAGCCTTTGTACTGTAGGCGTTTCCAGAAACTCCCTGTCATGGACTCTCTGATCTCAGTTTAAAGTTTCCCTTGAGGTCAAGCCATGCAGGCTATCCTACTCTGTATGCTTCTGAATTTGCTGATCACCATACAGGACTTTATCACAGGGCCCAGAAGACCATACCACTGACATTCAAGCCACAGAACACGAATGCCCCTGGGGTATGCAGCAGCAACTCACTGCCATCCCAGCTTTAAAATTGCACTCAGTCCCTCAGTTTTCTGTTGGACGCTTGCCCTGCTCAATGAGCTCGCCTTTAGCTAACACCTTTTCTGAAGGTAGACTCAAGGATTTTGAGCAAGAATTCCCAAGGGAACAAGATGCTCTGCCTGGGGGAACAAAAAGTCCAGTCCTAGATAAGTGGTATGCATGGTCTTCAGACTGGGATATTTGTCTCTGGTGTTTCATTTCAGAGTGCACATCTGTGATTAATGACAAATGTGTTATTTATTTTAAAATGTCAACAATACTATTTGGGATTCAGCAGATTTTTGTAGGACATTACCTGAAACTGGTTCTAGGTTGCACGTGTGGCAGAAACTTTATATTTCTTCTGAAACTATAATGAACTTCACATGTAGATATCTTCAGAATATAATTAAGACCACCTGGTAGAAGGAATTGATTTTAAAAACATTTTTGCTGGAAAGGAAACCAAATTCACTCTTGGGAGTGGGGTCTCTCATAGTGTTTCCTTTTCCTCTGAAATAATAGTATGAAGTAAAACCATTCTGGGAAGTGTCAACAAAAACTTAATTTGATGGACAAGGGCTGAAAAGCCAAAGCTAAAAGAACCATGGGACAAAAATGTGTTTACCCAGATGCTGGATTTTCTCCAAAACCTAAGAAAATAATGCTAAATCCTCTCAGGGCTGAACAATGGGACTGAAATTAGGCATCAAAGAATAATTAATATATGTTAACTTGCTCCCACCCACTCTCACACTGGCTTTTTTTTCCCCTAGGATAACAAATAATCAACATAGTGCAAAGGTTTCTAATCCATTCATTGTGTCAGCACATAGGCAGGGAAGGAATCACCAACAAAGGTCTGAGTGGAACTGGTTTGCATTACTGCTTTCATTTTTGCTAAACCATTTTATGTAGAATATAAACAATATGGCAGTTCCTTCACAGAAATTAGTTTTAAGCATGAATTTTCGTGTAAAATCTGAAGATATCTGAGCTAGAGACTGATCCTCTGATAACCAGCTCAGGCACACACTAACACCCCAGGCTGACCTGAAATGGGGCTTCTGAGACCCTGAGAAATATTTACACTTATTTTCAACATCTGATTTTAATAAGGGTTATTTTGAATTGACTGCTTGATGAAGCAAAAAAATTCATAGAACATAATATTATGTAGAAGTAGATAAGGCAGTTTATAAAATACTAAATTTTTAAATCTTAACTGGAAAAAAAAAAAAACCTGCCTATTCAATGATTAATTTGTTTTTCAGATGTTTGAGTCTCGGTTAATATAGCCCAAGTGGCCAATGTCAGAGCAAAACTGTCTTCCTACACTTGATCTTCAGACCTGAAGAAATAAGCATTCTTTTTTTTTTTCTGGACAGCTGACAGCTATCAGTTGAACCATATTCTCAGAAGATTGAGATGTTTCTAACCATTGACTTTGTTTTTTAAAATTCTTTGATCAGGAGGGCATCTGTGAGGTAGGAAGGGGAGAGGAAGAGGAAAAGCCAGTGTTAATTGCAGAGATTGCAGGCAAAGTAGGATAACAATTTTGAAATCAATCATAACAACAAACCATAACAGGAAAATCCTTAATAGTCTGAGCATTATACAGAGCCAGTACAGACTCCACAAAGAACAGTGCTACTTCAGTGCCAACACATTTTAGTGTTCCTGGAAAGCTCAAGCAAAGACTTCCCTAATGTACTGGAATATCAGATTTAAATTACTAAACAACTTCATTTTCTACTCCTTTATCCCACTTCACTTCCAAAAAAACTCCATCTACCCACCTACTCACCAAAAAACTAATGAACATCAACAGCAGTCTCTTCCTTGTAAACAGCAGAACTGCCTCAATTTGAGAAGACAGTGAGATTCAAAGATATAAATTGGACACTGCTCGTGACTTTCAATGAATGCGTTTTGGAAATGGAAACTGCTTCTCTTTGAGCAAATTCTACTTGCAGCTTCATTTGCTAACCGTGATTCTTTCATCCCTCCAAAGTATTCAAAAAAGCATGCACTAAAATGTCACAGCAAAACTTGTCTCCCCATTTATTTCTTTAGCATTATAAAGCAGTCCTGGCAGGATAATGCACAACTTCTACAACTTCTTAATTTTCAGTTCTACTCAGAAATCTTATTTTCTGCCTTCATATATGATACAGTGAACTGCAGTTATTCAAATGTCAGGACAATTGGTTATTTTGCACTGATGGGAATATTGTGCATGTTAAACTCATGAAGGGTGAAGCTTTTTTCTAGTATAATAAATAATAGGAGGAAACTGGAAACTAAATATATTTTCATGTCTTCAGCATTATAAATCTTGGCTTGCAGTACTGTAGAACAATCATCATTTTTAGTGTATGGTCTAATCTAACACAAACAGGTTGTATATATGGTAGTTCTGGGTCACAGTACACTTACACTGAAGTTACTGGCAACTGAGGCTGGAGCTAACATCAAAATAAAGCAAATAAATATGTGAGACAAAGTAGTTCTGGAGAATTAGCTCTAAAGAATTCCAGTTTCCTCTTGATTTGCGTCTTATCGTTGGTCAGCTTCTGTGCTTAAGATAATTTCTTGTCTGTCCCTTGTAATGTGCCCTTGTAATGTTTTATTTCCATTTAATGTCAAATGGACACTTCCATTTGCAGTCTTTCCATCATCAAGGTACTTTAACGGTCCATCTCCTTCATCAGGCCACCTATTTTCATGATATTTGTGGAAGAATAGCTATCTTTGGGACCTCTAGCCTCTACTTCACATGTGGCTGAATTTGGAGAGCACAGATACACAGACTTTATATGTCTTGTTTCCAAAGGAAATCACTACAAAAAGACACTCTTCTGCCTTTTGTTTTACAAGAAGTGATCTCATTGTAATCAAAACGGAGGTCCTATAAAAGACATTGGATTGTTTTTCCATTCAAATGAAAGATAAACAATTAACACTATCCAGGATCAGGAGTAAACAAAGCAGGGCTAAGTGATAGACCAGTGACCTCATGGAATGCTTAATGCCCAGTTGAAAGCAGCAACACTGTCTCTTTAGGAAGGGAGGCAGGATTTTCATATTGTGCCTGATGCTGTTTAGTGTATTTCTGATCTGAAACTTTGTAGGTCCCTTATCAGATCAGTTTGTTTTCCGTATTACCTCTATGGGTAGATTCCTTCTATTTCTAATGTCTGTGTTAGACTGCATCCTCTATCTTTAGGGTTCAGATTAAAATGAGGAAAAATACTGCTAGAAAATAATGTGAAAAATGACAACCCAAAAAGGAGCCACAGAAAGAAATTACAAGAAATATTCTCCAAGGAGAAATGCTTTTAGATGACAGAAGTAAAGAGGATGACATCATAAGTAGTCATAAAACTATGAAAAAGATAAATGGTCCAAAATTATGGAAAAAGTCACTTTTCATGGTTAGCAGAATGAACACAAAAAAGAGATTTTTCTATGTGAGTAAGCTCAGTAATTTGATACATGCACTGAGCAGCTAAAATCTCAGAGGTAAAATTGATTCTGCAATGACGGATGCAGCAAACAGGACGTGTGCAATTCCATGATCTCCAAGGCTCCTGAATTTGTGGAAGCCTTCCTGTCACCAAATGGTTTCACTTTTAAGTCATGCTTGTCTGGTATCACAGAAATTCATCTAAACCTTTTTAATTTTTTGTCTCATCTGACATCTCTTTGGCAGAATAGCATTATAGGCTCTGTTTCCCAACCAGAGTATAAGCAATACTCAAGACACTGATGTTTCTGATTATTTATTATGGCACTTCAAAGCATATAAATTCCACTGCTAGGTGTTTCAAACAAAAATAAATAAAATGAGACTTCAGGTTTTAGGCAGTATTTCAGCAGATTTTGGTTAAAAATTGTGAGAATGTTACTAGATATGGAATAAGAGTTTTGCTAGGAAAAGTCTTCTTAAAATAAGGCTTCCTTTCAAGAAAGTGTATGTACTTGCTTGGATTTAGCATGTTCATTGGCTTATTGATATATCTTGAGTTTAAGAAAACTGTGGGTATTGTATATTGAAATTAAGCAAACTGTGGGTTTGAAACACAAAAAGCCCCAAACTAGCCCTGAAAATCCGTTCCTCTACTTAAAACACCAATTTAGCTTCTCGTATTTATACCCACACAATCCTATTTACTTAGTAAATGGAAGTTAGTAAAATTTGAAATTGAAACAACTCCACAGTCAAAACTTTCAGTGCTTTCTTTATCTTTGAAAGTAGGGATGTTTGTGATATATTGGCTTGTTTTGTGCTGAAGGCAGATTGTAGAAGAGCCTAAAACCAAAATGGGTTTTTTTGAAACCTCACTTAAAATTCCACTAGTAACAATGTTTCCACTTCATATATTCAACAATTTTATTTAATAGCCTAAGTTCAGAATAGTTACATAATAGTTACATCACGGCCTTTAAAAAGAATTGCACTCAGCTACTCAGTCCATTGAAATACTAGAAAACAGGGAAAAGGAAAATACGGAGTGAAAAGGAGCTCTGTCCACTGAACTGAGTTTTTGCAGCAAGTTCCTACTGAACCTGAAGATGTCCTCATGCCTTCTGGTAGACTCTAACACACTTGACACCATTCATGTCACACTCCTGGAAGATAAAGAGGTGGATTTATTAATTTACATCTCAGTGCAGACCAACAAGGAAAAATGACGTGTTAGGAGTTACATTTCAGGCTACCAACCAGCAGCACTTGGGGATCAGAAAGCGGGACTGAACTCACCACCACCAACTGTCCATCCACTAGCTTCCTTGTTATTGTGGTCTTCTTGCCATCCCATTCCTGCTCTTGAATCAATGACCCATCATCTTTTAAGCTGACAAGGGTCTGAAAGAAGAACCTGACCATCAATACTTTCCCCATGACATTTGGGCAGCACAGAGGCTTTTCAATACCTTATTCCAAATGAAAGATTCCCACCCCAGCTCACTCAATAATAATTTTATCATTGACAACGACAATGCCAGAAATTATCTTAAACATTTTATCAATCTACTTCTTACAGTAACTAACTCACTACTCATTCATTCACTGCTCTGACACATTTCTGCATCAGACAAACCTTTGACAGCACCTACAATTTCATTTAACAGGAGTAGAAGGTGCTCTCTGTTCATCTCTTTGTTACATAGGCTTTGGGTTTTTGTGTTGCATTTATCTGATTTTGCAGTAATATATGAACTGAAAGTGTGTGGCTGGAGGGAGGGGGGTGATAAACAGAGAGGACTCATAGGAGGAAATGAGGAGGAAATCCTTTACGTTTTACCTCTTTTAGGATAAATATTCTCCCTTCTAGGTGCAAGCAGAAACTCTTTGCCTTCTAAAACTGGAGTTTAGTGCCTGTAATTCACATGATTACCTTGCAGTCTGATCCCACCCCACACTGAACGAGGCTCTCTTGTTATGCAAATATGAGACACAGCAGAAAAGGTTAACCCTAGGGCTGAATTGCCCTCTGATTAAACATCAATGGCATTTTTTTCCACGGGCTTCAAATGAAGTGGCATTTGGCTTTAACAGGGATTTAGAGGTCTGTTAGTTTTACTAAAAAAATGCTTCTGCTACAGAATGAAAACAGCAAAATACACAAGACTATTGATTCTATTGATTTCAGCACTCTCCCTCTTTGGAATTTGCTTAATCCATGTTAAAAAAATATTTCAATGAGACTTACAGAGACAACTGCTCATTGAATAAAGCAGTGTTAGTGTGGATGTCAAAGCTGATGTTAAAATATCACCTCCCTCTGTAAAATTCCCAAAGAATTGCCTTTTTTAAACAGAAAGTCTAGTATACTGACCTGAGTTTTCCTGCCATCTAATGTATTTTCCTCAAATTTCTCACCAAGCTTGAAGCTGAACTGTGAAGTTTTGAAGGTGCTTTCTGTTTTGATGGTGATTGTGTCCCCATCCTTAATAATGTACACGTCTGGTTTGGCCATGCTTCCCATTTTTCTCATAGCCATACCCACACCTGCAAGGCAAGAGGCACAGAGTGTCACCAAGTCAGTTAAACCCTGAGGCTTAGGGCCACACAAGAATTCAAATACCTAATTCCTATTTAATTAGGCACTTAAGTACACTTGAGAATCAAAGCTCAAGAGCCACAAAGAAGAAGGATGTTTTAAATTTTCCACAGAAGAGGAAGGAAAAAAGCTTATTTGCAGAGTTACTCTTTTGTTTCCTCAGAGAGGAAATTTATTTTGCCCTGTAGAGTATTTCTAGATATCCCAGCACTGATTTTTTTTTTTTCAAACAGAAATAAATAGCAAAAAGGAAAACAAATACAACAGCTTAAACTAAAATAAAAATATTTCTTCAAATTCTGAACACTTTAAAAATTCTACAAATTATTTTTATTGGCAGATGAATCCACTTTATTCAAACTTACTCAATAAATACCCTTCCATTAATTTGTACACCATTGCAAACATGCCATTTTAAAATAAATTTCATATTTTACATCCTGTTTACAAAGTATGGAGTTGTGAACTAGAAAATCATTATCATAAAAAATAGTGCTTCCACACATATGCAAAAAACAGAGAAACAGAGAAATAAGCAATTTGCAAAAGGCTGAAAACTCATGATCTGGAAACAGCAGCCCTCAAAACCCTACAGATTCACCCTGCTTCAGCCCCTGCATGCACTGTTTGAGGGATTAGCTTGAATCTTTTTAATCTGAAGGATGAAAATACAAATAAGAGGGCAGCAAGCAACAAACGTTCATCCATCAAACTAGTAAGTGCATATCTGAACCATGAATTGATACACAACCAAATGGGACAGAAAGTATCACCAAGTCAGTGAGTGCCTGGGTTCTGCAACTGGAGTAGTTAAAAAATGTTGTCAAGTATCAGCACAGCATTCCCCTGGTATGTGGAGGTAAGGGTTGAGTCCTTGAGAGGCAAATAAAGTACTTTCCAGACACTGCTTCTCCAGACTCAAATGAAATTCCAGGATTGAGCCTTAAGCTTGAGATCACAGAGAAAAAACAGTTATCCTCAGTCCAGTTTTTCTGATCAGAACTGGAAAATACTGCCACAGTAACCTCCACACACATTCTGTTGCTGTAGTCCAGGCCAGAGTAATCAGGGAGTTCTTTGATCAGCTACGGTTTAGCATCCAACTAAACAGAGATGAGCTTCATGTCTTCCATATGGTAAGAAGTGGAAATTCCAACTTCTTTGTCCTCAAATGTTCTTTTTCACAGAATGAGCAGAATCTGTATGGTCTCGTTTATGGTGCATCAATAGGATCAAAGGCAGAGAGTTTCACAAGTAGCCAGCAAGAATGAAATCCAGTAAATGACTGGCTCCTAAAATGTGCTTGGTATAAATTTAATTGCCTGAACTGTAAATAGAAAATGGAAAAGTGACTGATTTACAATTTCAATCTAAAACCAAACAACAGTCTGGTGCTACCTACACATGGGAGGTGCTCAGCAATTGCAGCACCTAATTTGTGCTTTGAAGTTGCAACTTGGCACACACCTAGGTATGGCCATTGGACATCAAGGTACCAAGGCATCCTAATGGCTCAACGAAGCTGAGCTTAAAATTCTTGAATTTCCTCCAAAGTCTTCCAAAGAATTCAGTCCAAAAGGCTTTCTCATATCATACCTACCACAGGCCTCAAAAAACGTAATTACAGCCACCACTGTCTGCAGAGCATAAATGCAGTGATGCCTTTCGTATTTTACATGAAGAATGCAAGATTTAAATTCCTTCCTGTCCTCCCTCTAAGGATAAGGTTACATCTTCTACCTCTTGAGAAAATATCACAGTTTTAATCTGTGGATAAATTGCAGAAAATAATAGCTCCTGGGCCATATAGACACTGCCAGGTATCTATCACCTGTCAGCCAGGATGCTCATAGGACAGTAGTAAATCAGAGCTTGCAGATGAGGCTCCTGGTCTGTTAGGCATGTTCTTCATCCCGTAACGTCGTGTTATAAAATGTAGGGCAACCTGGGCGCAGGGATAACAAGCCAGGACCATCCCCCTGAGATAAAGGTGTGACTACCCACAGACGAAAGCAGGCAAACAGCCTCCGGCAGTATAGCCGGTTACCCAGAGGCAGCTGATCCAGTTTGGCTTTCTCGGGAGGAGACACCCAAGGTGACTCCACGGGGCGGCAGCCCCGGCTGAGCAGGTCCGTGACCCAGCCCGGCCCCGGCACGGCGCTGCCGTGCGGCCGCCGCGCCCCTGGGGCCAGGGCAGCGCCGAGCCCCCGCAGCCCCGGCCGGCTTCACCCGGGAGGGAGCGGCGAGCCGGCCGATCGCAGCCGGGCTGCCGGCACCGCCCGCTAATCCCGGAGGGGCGAGCGTGCGCGGCGGGAAGGCGCCTGCTGCTGCCGGCACCTGCCTCGCAGCAATTACGGTGCAAAAAGGGTCGCTGACATCTTTGGGACGCGGGGCCAGCGGCGGCAGCTCTCCCGCCAGGAAAGCTCTGCTGCCGGCCAGCGCTCCGCTCCCGGGGCCGAGAGGGCGCGGAACCCCCGGCGCTGCATCCCGAAGAATCCCGGCATCACCCCCGCAGCCGCCGCCCATCCGCGGCTCTCGGCCGGGCTGCATCCCACCCTCGGGCCCGGCGCCGGGAATGCGCTCTCCGCGGACCTTGGACAGAGCCTCGCCGGCCGGCAGCGACAGCACATCCCCGGGGCGGCATCCCGACATCCATCCCTCCCTCTCGGGGGCGGGGAGCCGCCGGCTTCTTACCCAGCTCCTTCATGTACTCCTCGAAGCCTTCGCTGGAGATGAGGCACCATTTACCCAAAAACGCGTCGATGGCCATGGCGGCGGCACTGGAGCTGATGGCGTCCCTGTAGAAACGTGAAGGCAGAAGGACGAGCTGCAGCGCAGCCGCGGCCGCCTTTATAGCCGGGCCGGCAACATGTGCTGCCGGGAAGAGCCAATGGGGCTCCCGCCGCGCCCCGGCCCCTTCCCCGCCGAGCCCCCGCCCGGAGAGTCCCGCCCGCGGCGGCGGCAAGAGCGGGCACGCCGCGGCACTGCCCGCGCTCCGCCCGCGCACACAGACACCCGGACTGACACTCACACAGAGGCAGACACATGCACGCACACACAGACACCCGGACTGACACACTCATACACAGAGGCAGACACACACACAGACACCCGGACTGACACTCACACAGAGGCAGACACATGCACGCACACAGACACGCACACACACACGGACACAGAGGCAGACACACACACAGACACCCGGACTGACACTCACACAGAGGCAGACACATGCACACACACACAGACACGCACACACACACAGACACCCGGACTGACACACTCACACAGAGGCAGACACATGCACACACACACAGACACGCACACACACACGGACACAGAGGCAGACACACACACAGACACAAGAGGCAGATACAGGCACACACACACGCAGACAGACACATGCACACATACACACTCGCACACTCACACTCATGCACACACAGACACAGACACACGCACGCTCACACTCACATACTCACATAATCAAAGAGCAACCGCTCTTTGCACCCCAGCATGGGAACACCCAGGAGCGGTGGGACACTGCCAGAGCTGTCCTGCCGAGGGATGTTGTGGCCTCAACGCTCCTTCGAACACAAACCCCATCCTGCGTGCTCAAAGAATCCAGTGTGCTGAGTGCCGGTACCCATGCACTCCTAGCTGGACTCTAAATGCTAAATTATACTGTTTATTACATGTCATGGTTTTTTTAAGGCTAATTCAAACAATCATCATATGGCACAGAGAGCAATAAGGCATCAGCATCCCAAAGCAGTTTATTGGGTTTGATTGCCAGCCTTCCCAACAGTTCCCCAACTCCCACTGGTACATCACGTATTATTGAACTACAGCAATCCATAGTTACTATGACCTGGGAACAGACCTTTTATGTACACACAGTGGTCAGTTTAGCAAACAAAATCAATCAAAATACAGAATTAATGTGGGTGCTTGCAGTACAGGAAAAATCAAAGCCTGAATTCAACCTCACACCTTAGCACTGGAAAAATGGAGATATCTTGGTTTTAGTCCATCTTGAAATACAATTGCTACTTCTTAGAAGAAGAAATAGCATCATAAAATATACTGTCTCAACAGGCCCTGTGAGGTTTTAACCAATCTTTTGTCAGATTTTGTCAGGTGAGTGATTTACTGTCATATTCTGTGAGGAAGCTGCTGTTTTTAAGACACAAAAAACAAAAAACCAAAAAAATTCTGATTTCTATGTACCCCCAAGATTTGTTTACATTAGGGTTTTGCCAATCTCTGCCTTTTTTGGCCTTGTGTCACACTGGATGAAAACCACAGCTACTTTCTCCTGTCTGGAAAAAGAGAAATGTGAAGATACATCTGGTATCTCAAGGGCTTTTTTATGGAATAACAGTTACTACACTTCTCAGCTATTACTTTCCTGGAGGAGTTTGAGATGAAGGTATCAAAACCATCAAAACCAGGGAAGACAGCAAGACAGGTTCTGTGCTGGTTCCAGCATTTCATAATATGAGGAAGTGCCATAAAGCCAAATGATTTGGAGCAAGGAGACCTTTTTCCTTTATGCTTTGCTGTGATACAATTTCCCACAGCAGCTAGAAGTTTCAAGACTTTGTAGAAAGTCAGATTTGTCATAAACAAAATAAACAAATAATGTTTGAATTGATTTTTTTTAAATTCCTCTAACTATCCTTCCCTACAGAGTTGTCTTTAATTACTTTCTGCTTCTCTGACTATATGCTTGCTTTTAATATGCAAACAACATTATAGCGTCTACTCATAAGACAGTAAGTCACATTGTTTCTCTTTTGTGTTATTAAGTAGGTATATCGAAACACAAGACTTTCAACATTCTTCCACTTTTTTTTTTTAATTTAATTTTGTGTATGTCTTGTGTAAAAGATTTCAGAGTAAATGTCAAATTAGAGTGATGTTTACTGGCTAATTCATGATAGTTAAATCAACATGCCATCCATGCTGTAGTTCTCTGGTTGCTTACAGAAAGGATAAATGAAAAGCCATTAGATTAGGGATCAAACAGAATCATCCTTCAGGAATTAGGATGTCTTCAGTCTTGTAAAGCAGGGACAATTTCTAGAAATAGAAATCTTGGCTTTACTCCACGTACACCAGCAAATAATTTTGGATCCACATTTCTGCAGTGCTGCCTGCAGATGGCTTACGATATGCAAATGGTAGTCAGGAATAAGTGCTGATAATGCAGCAGAAGATGTAAAATCCACTATTTCCATCTAGTGGTGAGACAGTATTCCTGGATCTGAAGTACCTGAAGATCCAGTTACCCACCTGTGTTCAACATTGCTACAGTTTTGAATCCTCCCACAAGTCATTTGGTCTGATTTATTTTCCTCACAAATTTTTCAGGTCTAGGTATGTAAATTCATATAAAACACAAGAAGAGACTCTTATCTCTCTTTTCTGAAATAAAGATTGTTAGTATTCAGTGAAAAAAAATCTCAACTCTTACAAAGTTCTAATGTTTTGCAAATTAGTCAATCCAGTGATACGGATTACTGGCTCTGATATCATCAATGCCACATCTCAAAACTTCTTTGAAACAGAATAGTGCTGAAACTGTCCATGTAGCGAAGAAAGTAACTAGAGGTGCCAGAGATATATCCTTCTGTGTAAGGTACAAGTGACCTGAGCTAGAAAATATACATTGTTTCTTATCTCAACAGTGTACATTTGCCATATCTGGCTCCTACTTTGGGAGGCGAACTAAAATGTTCAGATATTCAGAGGTGCTCGAGCCACAGGAATTCATCCCTGTAAATCTCAATTCCTGCCTGTTTTGAGGCTGACATCATAATCAGACCTTTTGGGTTTGTGTAGTCTCCTCTTTAGATATATGAAAAGAGAAGCAGCAAATACATGCTACCTATGGGCTGCCTTGAATCCCTATGCCACATATTATTGTTTCAGTACAGACAGAATAAATTCTCTGAAGTTTTGCTCGTTTCCACAATGAACTATATATTGTTCAAGAAAAGGAGAATCAAATTTACAATGAGAAGTGTACATTTTTCTGAGGAAATGAGCTGCACGGCAGGCACGTAGCCACATTTAGGAGCAACCACCACCTTGGCAGCTTGAGCCTAACCAGGGTGAATGCTTTCCTGAGGCAGTCAAACCCTTGCACCTTGTAGGAGGGGAGGGTATTACAGTTCTTCATTACCAAGTGCAAGGCAATGTGCACAGAGACCTTCATTCTACTCCTTCAGTGAGTAGTGATGCTTCATCTGATGTGGGAGCTGTGGCCAGCAGGGTTTGAGGTTTCTCTTCACGTAGCTGTAGATTCACCTCCTGCATGCAAGCTAAGCCATATTTTGTGTTTTGGAGTCACAATACCTACTGCTTGGGCAGGGCAGAGCACCACCTCCTCGTCTGCAACATATCAGTAATCAGGTTCCATAGGAGGTGTAACTTTTTCCTAGACCTTTACTCATTCTGCAACATATCAGTAATCAGGTTCCATAGGAGGTGTAACTTTTTCCTAGACCTTTACTCATTAAACTGCCCATACATTTGAATTGGAGGGAACTCAATCTGATAGAGCTCTACTGTGTAAGGGAAGATCTTGCTTTCCTTCTAGCATACAGACATATTGTGTATATAGACCATCTTTTCTAAGTGGTAGTCTTTTAGATAAGATAACCTTTTGAGAAAGCCTTAAAAAAGATTTCAGGAAAACTGGATATCACTGCCAAAATTTTACTCTTTGGCCTATCCCTAGCTGTAGAAAAAAGTTAAAGCAGTCTATGAATAATAGCTACTCACCCCCAAGGCATGGATGGGCAAAATTGCATAGGTATCACAGTTTTGTTTCTGTTTCCTTGTTGTACAAGTGTGGTTTTCCCTTCCCAGCCATGTCATCAGTGGGCAGGCATGATGAAACATGTGCTACAGTTGCTTAGCTGGCCCGAGGAAGCTTTGCCACTCAAGAGACGTTGGCTTTGGCAATACTATACCAGGGATAATGAAGCAACAATGCATGAACCTGCAAGTTTTCCTCTGTATGTCAATATGCACAAAATCTCCTGGTGTATCAGCATTTCCTTGCTTCTGAGCCAGAAGAGCCGGGCATAGCTTCATTTTATCAATGAACTTTGTGCAGTACATTTGGTTTTGAGTCAAAACAAAGCCATATTGCTCTCCATGGGTCCAAAGAATCCTTGCTGTGGATCTGGAGACTGCTGCATCCGCCCTGGCTAGCCAGCTGTCGGGGAGGACAGGCTCATGTGTGCCGTGCCCTGGTGCTGCTCACGCCACAGAGCATTACTATAATGCAATTAGCATGCTGCAGCCTCAGCCCAGCTCCTGCACGTTGTCAGCAGCACGCTCAAAGCAAGGTTAAAGGGAAATGCTTCTAGGGCAAAGTTTACTGTGGCAATGGTGTCACAGCTCACTGACTGTAGTGCCTCAGTGCTGAGAGAGAAAGATCCAGAAGCCTGCAGTGACTTGGATGAAGACTCCAGGACTCATTTTCCTCCTTCCAGAGAAAAAATGATTAGATGTCACATCCAGCCCAGGTCACAGAGACTGCAGATATGTGAGCTTGTACCTAACTTTGGAAGCTTTGAAAAGTCCTTTTTATTTAGCAGCAGTATCTACCCTGAACAGCAAACATCTACATATAAGAATAAAAATAATTTTATTTATCTTCAGAATTTTATAATCAGCATAGTCATTACAATGCTAAAAAAAGCTATTAGGGTGGCTAAAAATCTTCCATAGATGTAGTTTTAGCACTGAAAAAGCCTTTGATCCACATAAAACAAAAGCTCATTAGCAGAGAATACCTGCTCACAAAAGAGACTTTCAGAAAGCAAATGCTCTGGCATGGCTTTTAGAAACATCAGATGTACCAAAAAAAAAAAAAAAAAATCCCAAATGATGTTGCTGTAAATAAAGACAAATAAAACTTCACTTTGTCCTTTCTATGCAGTCTGGAACCATAAGGACATAAGGGAAAGGACGAGCAATGTTAAAATAATTTGGAATAGGTAATGATAAAACAAATATTTCTACCAATGATAAATAATTAGATTATGAAATTTGGAATCAATAAAGTACAGATGTTCCCACTGGATTTTAAAAGGGTATATAAATTAAAGCTTTATCTTTTTTCCTTGATTGCATATCATAAGTAGAGTTCCATTTCTGAGGATATTGATCAAGCACTGTGAAGGGAACCTCAGGAAAAAACAAGGTTTCATCTGTAGTAATAACCATACTTCTCATTCTCAGGATGTCACAAAGGAGAGCATCATGGTACAGAAATTTGAAAGGCAGAGTCTGACATTCACACTTTACAGAGGAAGAGTCTTCTCATTGTGATTTGAATACCAACACCTTTCCCAGGAAAGCTGGAGAGAGGCTGCAATTGCTCCTCTTCCTGTTGGCCAAAATCATGTAGTAGGTGCTAGGAACAGGTGTAGGCCATCTACCTGGCCAGGGCTCCCAAAGGACTTCATCCTGGGGTGAAAAGTGTGTAAAATGCCTGAGGCACAATTGATGGGGGCTCCTTTTCACCAAACAGCACAAGCCTTCTCACACCTGCACACAGTGGTAAGAGAGAGGCTCTCTGGGCTGCTGCTCAGTGTATTAGCTTCCAGTTATGACTCACCTTTCAAGTCCTCATTTTTCATGGACTGTAGAAGAACATTGGAGGAAAACCCTTTGGAAGCTAAAGCTAGTTTTTACTATTAACACATTCCCATTGCCAACATGCTAAGTTTGCAAAGAGGCTTGACTCAATGACTTGTGTTCAAAAGTCTTCTAAGAAAATTCTTGCCTCTGGCATCTCAAGCTACCATGCAGGACAAGCAGGTATTTTCCAGCTTGCTCTTCTAGACTTGAAAAGTCTCATGGTATTTGGGTTTACAACCCTGATTCTATCTTAAGGTTTGATACTATGTATCTAACAACCAGTTCAGAGAAATCTGTAAGGAAGTAGGAAATTACACTGCAGATCTCTGATTTGTTCCTATGCTTCTGCCAAAATCTTTTGGTGCTGATTCTGCCACCTTTTATTTTATGTGCAGTTTAACTTGATACCCTTCTAGCTATTTGAAAGAAAGAAGTAATCAGCTGATTCTTAAATTTCTCATTCCCAGTAAATACTCTGAAATTCATTTGAGCAGTAGATTTTGAAGTCAATTTCTATAAATCTCCATGTATAAAGATACTTTTAAAACTCCATAAAAATATTGTTTCTTTTATTCATGCAAGTGACTTGAACCACTCAGATTCCCCAATAGTGAAAAGACAATTCTGTACATCCATGCAAGAATTATGTTAGAGAGGACAAACTTGCTGGCTTTGCATGCCAACTGTATTATTTTTGCAGTAAGGTTGGTCTTTGACTCCCTTTTGAAAAAGTGTGGAAGATTCAAAAGAAACAGAGGAGTAGTGGCTGAGTAAGAAAGGAACCTGCTGCTTTGCCTCCTACCTGTCCTCTGAACTTCCTGCATGGATTGTCTGTCTGAATTGTGAAAATCTGTCCACTAAGGATTTTTTTCCCAGATTTGCTCCTATTTACCAAGCATTCCCTTCACAAACATGTCTGCTGGTCCACTTTTCCAGCTATTTTGGTTTAAAAGAAATATTAATTCATATGGAAACAAGTCAAACTCACCTCTTCCAGTGAAGCACAACAAAAAGATCTCCTTTGATGTGATATTAACCTCTCCTATTAGCACTGCCAGTAGGTAGGAGACTGCTTTAAGTCAAACAGAATCTCTAGACTTGCCTTACCTCTGCTTTCAAGTACCACTTTGGAACTTCAGGAGTCACGATAAAAACAGGATCAGCAGCTCCTTTGCCTTCATACCCCTAATATCTGTCCCTGGGCACATCCTTAGTTTTGTAAAATCCTGAGAAGACCAGCTCAATGTAAAGATCATTTTTTGTTAAGTTAATTAGAAGCTAAATACCACCTCTAGCTGTTCATGCTGCTCCATCCCAACAGTTACCACCTTACAGAGTAAGGCTGAGCAGGAAGCAGAGTACATGGAGTGGTCCACCAGCAGCAGAGTACCTTGGCTGCTTGAGGCTACTGCATGCTCGTGGCAAACAATAAAAAGGGCTCAGAAGAGTGACTCAGGCCTTCCAAGGGGGAAAAGGAGGCCTGGATGAGATCAAACAACACCAGTAAGGAAAAAGACTATTAGGCCAGGAGATGGAGAAGGCAGAGAAGTGCATCTGGAAGAGGCATCACTGATAGGCAATATGTTGGTCTCAACATGACTCCAAAGCACTCAGTGGAAAGGCAGGGCCTGCATCCAAGGAAGCTGGTTGCAGATGTAGCTGGTGACATGGGCAGCGAGCCAGCAATGCTTAAAACTGCAAGGAGTGCATACATGCGTAGGAGATACACTTGAAACCAAGTATCTTGAGAACTGTTAAACACAGTCCCAGGATATTCAGCTTTTGAGGGTTTTTTCTGGCTTCCTTATACCACATAAACTCCTTGATAATTTAAAATTCAAACAAGCAGAGGTGAAGAACTTGCAATGTTCTCTAACACTGCTCCTCCTAGTTGAAATGTTTAATAAAAATACCATTGCGTTTTTCCAAAAACAGTGCTGCAGATATTTAAAAAGGGAATACCTCAGGTTGTGTTATCTGAATATTGTATTATATTCATACATTTGAAGACTATTTTCCTTATGTGCTGATAAGAATGTCTGAGTAAATAGGCATTTGTAAAATGAAAAGATCTAAGATGATTCTAATAATTGCTAAATCTCCAGGCATTAGAGATTTAGCCATTTTAATGTCATCACCTGCTATCAGACATCCTACATGGCCATGGTATTTGCATTTAGGCAACCCTAGTTTTTTAGGGTCTGCTCCAGTTCCTTTTTATAGTTGGGCAAGCACCCACATTTTTGGTGGGATACAATAATCAAGATTAGTGGGCTAAAAAATGACAACATGCAAAGTCAGTGCTCACCCAGACACGCTTTGTTGTGCATGAGTGACCTTAATACCCTGTACATCCCCAGTGCTGGCCTGTGCATGTCAGGAAGCTGTCAGAGCTTTGTTTCAGGCAATCAGCAGCAGGAGCTGGGAGTGCACGAGCAGCTTGCAGCAAAGCTATCTAAATGCTCAGGAAAGAAAGTCATTACAGATTATCTTTAATGTACTTGAAAAATAAATTCGTACCTTTATCTCAACAATACAGGGAGAGAAATTTTCTACATATTAGCATAATAATCATCAGAGAAGTGCCTTCTTGCTCATCTTGCTTGTTTATATCATTCCAGTATCTTGTAGTCTTGAAGATGCACATTTTTAGCTTGATTTTTCTGTCCTGTAGGTTTTGCTTTACACATTGCATATTAAAAACTCAGTCATTACTTCTTTTTCACGCACAAAACATATCAGAGCTTTATCACTGCAAACTGCAGCTCCCAGCACCACAGCAAAAGCAGCACCAGCCTACACCTCATTCCTTGAATTGCGGCTGAGCTCTCAATGGCAACACTGCAGGTCGTTGGCCTAACCTAAACAGGAAGGTTGGGCATGTGTGGATTAAAATGAAAGCACTTAGCAAAAGTGTGTGTTTTTACAGAGCAGGATGCCTATCCATGCTAGTAAAGTAAAAAACCACCTTTCTTTGACAACAGAAGGGATTAATTTTGGTGTTGAAAAACTAGCTAGGAGCTTCATTTTTTCCCTTTTCTATTCATAAATACAAGCCCCAATCTTGGGCCAAAATAAATACTATAAAAACTTAATTATTATTAATAATTAATTACTTAACTGCTGAACTCCTGTTTAACTCTTTAAGCACTTATAGATGGCTAATTTTTTAAGATGGATATAGGGACTTCAAATTAAAACACAAGTTTTGTACACTGATGTACAGACTGTCAAAGAAAGAAAAAAAGCCCTCAAAAATCATTGAAATGTTACAATAAGAGGGCTTTTGAGCATATGAATACATGATTAACCATGGGAACAATAACTGTGTGTAGGTCTTCCCCTTGAACAATTCTCTTTTCCTGCAAAGCTTTCTCAGATAAAGTCGTGGTATATGATGTTATTCTAAACTGTGGGAAAAACAAAACAAAATAAAACAACCTGTCCTTTGAACATTCTTATTGCAATTTAGTCCTCTTCTATGGTACTCCCCTAGCTTGACAGCATTTAAAATCCTCTCTGTTTCAGGTGTTCTCATAACCCCTCTGCTGTAACAGAGCTCAGTAGCAGGTTTAGCAGCTTAGCTCCAAGATCACTCTGAAGCGCTGGTGGCCTAAAAAAAAAAACAGTTCCAGTGCAGGGAAGGTATTTATCCCAGACAAATTTATTCACATCTATTGTTCACACATCCAAATTTCAATGAATTGTCTTATCTCACACTCTTCTGTTTGTTGCAAACACATGGAAAACACCCAATGTCTTTAGCACAGCTCTCCTTCTCCAACATAAGACATCACCTTGACTTCAACATTCTAATGAAGAACTTGTAAAGACTTAACTTGACAGAACCATCTTGTTTTCAGAATGGACAGAGTCCATTTAATAATCTTGGCAAAAAGTAAAGTAAAACTAGTTTCAGATTTGTGTCCTAAATCTGCTGCCAACTTTGAAAATACATGTATTAGTTTTAGAGAAATCAGGCATCTGATTATAAAAAGGTAGAGGTAAAGCCTCTCAAGAGTACCACACCTGCAATGCTCAAAATTGGAACTACATTTTTGTTATGAACAAAACTGATGCACATGAAACACGTGGAGCTGACACCTCCACCTGCACAGCCAGAGGAGATTGACCCTTTGAAACAGAGCTTTGCAATACAGATGAGACACCTAAGCAGTTACTTTAATAAATGATAGGGTTGAACATGGGACTATAAACAACAAAATAGTTAATGAAATATCCCAAGAGTGACAAAACCACTACAAAACTGAACTTCAAAGAGAGCCCTTTTCTCCAATTATCAAAAAAACTAACTTGAGCTAATCTTAGTTACTTTTATTCAGGATGAGTAACTCTGCTGTGTGTTGACAGTCCCATAACCTTGTTACTTTAATAGCTCAGCTAAATTTACATTTAGCAAATTACCCACTTCCTTCAAAAAAAGAGGAAGAAAATGGTAGGGACTTAGCAACAGATGTATTATAAACATAGTAGTACAAAACCCACTCTACATTTGCAGCCTGCTGTCCCTCAGCTAAGTCAATACTTTTTAAGGTTTTCTTCAAATTTTTGATAAATTTAATAGCTTTCCAAGAATAATAATAGCCACTCTAAATATGTTCTGTGCATACACTTATAGAAATTTTGTAGGAAATAATGTCCAAAGAGATCTGGCTTCGTTGTAGTATTAATTTAATAGCTAATGTGCATTATTCACATTGAAATGCAAATACAAGTGATATTAGTCCAACATGCAGCTGCTTGGAAAGATGCATTCATGCATCTTATGCCACTCTCAACCCCTAATGTTAGAAGATCTGTTGATCTAGTATGTTCTCTTTCAAGGGAAGGCAGTGAACATTTAAAGTCTTTTGGCCATCTCTCAGATTTTGTTGCATAGGAAAAAGCCTTCTGTGCAGCCTGCTGTTTCTAACACATGTCAATGCAAACACAGTAGTTTTTCCATTCTTCAGGGATTCTTCTTCTTGCTTTTCTGTTCTTCTTTAAGGTCTTTTGCATTACATCTGGATGCCAGTGCTGTTAACATTTCCCCTGTTGTCAGGTGGGCTCCCTTCATTATCAGTCGATCTCCATCAGCTATGAATGAAGAAAACCTTGAGAAGTTACAAATTGACAACTACTCTGGTGTGCAGTTGTTTTGTACATATAAATCCAACCACAGTTCACCTTGTCTGATTAGAAAGTGTTCCAGCTATCAAGGAACCTGACTATGCAACACTGCCAAACAAACATATCAAACTGCACACAAGCATTGTTGAAAAATCTGGAGCATTTATCTAGGTATGCCTATAGTAAGAACACATTTTAATAAGAACAGCTCATACTCTGCCCCCAAAGTCATCTCACAAAAGGCAAAGAAGGCATTGGAAGGCACAATTTCCACACATGGCTAAGCATCTTAGTAGCCTGTTGTCTGTGGTCCATTTAACATGCTTCTTCAGTCAAAACAACAAATTGGTTCACACAATCCTGTAGTTATAATGCAAAAAATAGGAAGCACTAGAATTTCCAGAATTCTGAAAGAATTTGTTTTAAAACAGGCAGGTAGCAGTAGAAGGTGAATATTACCCAAATTAATTACTTTGCAAGATTTGCAAATACAAAACCGATAGCCAAACCCATATAGTGAAATACCATGCCTGGCATCCACATTCCAGCCTTATTTTTGCCAACTACAAGGGCTACAAACACTTCACTTGGGAAAAATCAGCTTTTGGAATATGAAGAGTTTAGAGGTGTCTTGGCATTAATGAGATAAACTGGTTTGGATTTACACTGTGAAAAAACATAGAGCTTTACTGCTTTTGTCTTAACACATCACAAGGATGAGAAAGACAGATACATGGGGGAGAGAGAGACAAGCAATGTTAACATTGAAATAGGTAGACTTTCCTAAGCAACACTTTTGACATTTCCACCAATTCACTAAAAATATGGAAGTTTAAAGATAAGAGGGTAGCAGAAATCAATATTAATGAAAACTTTAATGGGCTACATGACATATTGGTCCATTACAGCACAGCAGGAAAGAAGATGCAGCCAGAGAAAAGGACAAAAGCAGATTAGAGCCATCTGTTCATAGCCTGGAAACTGGGACGCTTCCAGAACTGATGAAATTTCCACCACCAATTCCCTGCCTGCTCCCTATACCCTCAAAGGGAACCAAGAAATTTGTTGTACATAGTTGACCTCACTCTGCAGGTCCATCTGCACATGTATAGCCTCACCCATCTGAGCAGTTCCTTCAAATTACTTACTCAGTTGCATAAGCAACCAAAGGTGTTCAACCTTCTGTTCTCAAAAGTGAGATGCCTCCACCACAGGTAACATAAAAGAATCATGGAAAATAAACTGATTATTATATAAAAACAGAGCTACATTTACTTTCCTGGAATTGTTCCTGACTGCAGAGTCCTATAAGCACATGCCTACAGAAGCACACTCAGCTCCAATGTTATCAGTGGCTGGATCTAAGATCCCTTAGATCTAGCACTAGTAGAGACACATATACACATTTATCTACACATCAGGCTGTTAGTGACACCCTCTTTCTTTTTTCCTCCCAGCTGACTCAACATCTAGTTATGGATCAGAGCAAAAAAAAAAAAAAAAAAAAAAAAAAAAAAAAAAAAAAAAAAAAAATCACAATTAAAAGAATATAAAATATAGAAAACAGTGAATATAAAATATAGAAAACAGTAACATTGTAACAACACAAACCCGGGGTTTTTTGTTTGTTTAAAAACAAGCTCCTTACCAAATGTAACATCTACAACTGGTTCAGATCCATCATGTCTCACATCAGTAGTTACTTCACAGTTTGTATTAGTAGCTTGGACTTTTTTATGGTAAATACTTTGGAGAAATTTTCTGAAAATATATGAAAAATATATTAAGTATGTTGTAGACAGAAATTAAAGTAAACATACTTCTAAAATTAATTTGCACATCTTTATATTGCTGGGTAACAAAGTATAAACAAAATAGGATTTTTACTTAAGTTCAGACAGGTACTTCTTATGAGAGAATCGCTCTTAAAATCCAAAAATTCGAATTAAGTTATATTCCTTATATAAGGCAAAAATGTAAAACGTGTAATGTTAAAAAGCATACCAAAGAACTGTGTAAAACTTCAGTGTATACACTTTCTGTGTTTCTCTTAGCTAGATTAGTAACAATAATAAAACATGAACACCAAAGGCATTTTCATTTTTCTTTATACATCATTTGTTTGCCAATGTTTTCTTGTTTGGGTTTGAGACAGCATTTATTTATATGACATCTTTGGTCTCCTGTAGATTTCTGAAATGCGTGACAGTTACTTTAAGCTGCTATTCTGGCAGCTAAAAAATATTCTAAATTAAGCTGTGTCACTAAATTAATTTTAAAAGTAGGTGTGGCTGTACAGTGATTGCAAACCGGCATTTTGGAATTGTTTGGTGCAGAACCTGCACGGCTGGAGAAGCACAATCCCTTAAATGTCTCCAGCCATCACTCATCGGGACCGGAGCTGCTAGCAGCGCACGGCGCGGCCCTGAGCGGAGCGCAGCGCAGAGCTGGGGCCGAGCGCTCTGCGCAGCTCCGGGCCCGCCGGCAGAAGGGGCGCAGGGCCCGCGCAGGCCGCGCCCCCGGCAGGCCGCGGAGGGCGCCGGGGCTCCTATAGCGAGGCAGCCCGGACAGAGCGGGCTGGGGCCGGCCCCGCAGCCCCCTCACCTGGTGCTCTCCACGTTGGGCTCGAAGGGGCAGAACCGGACCACGATGCTCTTCACCGGCCGCAGCACCAGGCTCACTTTGGACGCCATCTTCTCCCCGCCCCCTACTACAGCTCCCAGCAGCCCCCGCGCAGGGCGCTCGGCGGCGGCGGCCGCGCCGGCCCGCCCCGTGGGCACCTGGGAACTGTAGTCCGTGCCGCGGCCGTGGGGGCGGGAGGCCCGCGGGTGCGCTCCCTTCGCTGGGGCGGCTGCTGGCCCCACGAGCCTCGTTTAGTGACCCGAGGCGCTCGGGGCCAGGCTCCCTCCTGCGCCAGAGAATCACAGACTGGTTTGGCTTGGGAGTTATTTTTTTTTTTTTAATGTAGTCCCAACCGCCCTCCCTGTGCAGGGGCACCTTTCACTAGACCAGGTTGCTCAAAACTCCATCCAACCTGCCTCTGAACACCTCCAAGGATGAAGCATCTGCAATTTTCTCTGGACGACCTGGTCCAGTGCTTCACCACTCTCACAGCAAAGAATTTCTTCCTAACAATCTAATCTAAACTTGCTCTCTGCCTGTTTGAAACCATTCCCCTTTGTCCTGGCATGACATGCTCTTGTAAAAAGTTCCTCTTCTGCTTTCTTGTAGGTTCCCTTTGCTGCTGGAAGGCAACAAGAAGGTCTCCCTCAGAGACTTATCTCCTCCAGGCTGAGCAACCATGACCCCCCCCCCAGCCTTTCCTTGCAGGAGCAGAGCTCTGATCATATTCGTGGTCTTCCTCTGGACCTGCTAAAACAAGTGGATGTCCTTTGTGTACTGAGGACTCCAGAGCTGGATGCAGCAGTCCAGGTGGGCTTTCACAAGAGTGGAGTAGAGGGGGAAGATAAGGATCAGCTAAAGATAAATTAGAGGCAATGTTTTGCAATACATCAAGGAGGAGAGAGATTTGCAAGAGGCACTGCTGCTGGAAGTGAACACATTTGATTTTTCATTCATGACTGGCTATGTCCAGGAGCTGCTTCCCAGCCCTTGAATTAAGCCTGGAGAAGAGGAGGCTCAGGGGTGACCTGACCAGTCTCTACAGCTCCCTGAAAGGAGGGGGTAGCCAGGTGAGGTTGGCCTCTTCTCCCAGACAATTAGCGACAGGACAAGGGGACATAGTCTTAATCTGCACTAGGGAAGGTTCAGGTTGGGCATTAGGAAGAAATTCTTCCAGAACTGGAATTGGAGCGGGCTGCCCAGAGAGGTGCTGCAGTGGCCATCCTGTTTAAGCAAAGAGGGGATGTGGCACTTGGTGCCGTGTCGTAGTTGCCAAGACGGTGTTTGGCTACAGGTTGGACTCGATGACCCCAGAGGTCTCCACCGGGCTGATCCCGAGTCTGTCAGGGTGGCGTGTCCCGCGTGTCCCGCGTGTCCCGCGTGTCCGGGTGCCACTAGATGGCACAAACCTCCCTGGCAAGCGGCTCCGGACCTTGGGAGCGCCGGGGCGGCAGCGACCGCGGGCAGGCACGCCTCGGGAATTTCCGTGCGGTGTTCCATACAGACCACGATCCCCACCTACGGGAGCTGCATTAAGCGGCTATCGTCTCTTGGAATGCGTAACCTATTCTTAGAAGGTTATCTTGGTTTATTCCAAGTCATCTTCCTTAAAATCTCACATAGTCATTCGGTAAAACCATTGTCTTCAGTGAGATTTGGACAATAAATTAACTAGCAAAGCTAAGCACAATGGAGTTGATATAGTTGTAACGTTTCAAGTTTTTCTTTTCTCTCTCAAGAGAATAAAAAAAAATCATACATATACATATACATATACGTATACATATACGTATACATATACGTATACATATTTATATATGTTATATATAGTGGTCTTCTCTTACAGAAAAAAAAAAGGGAAAAATACATTACTGTGAGATATCTTTTATAAAACTTACCTGTAACCAATAAATAGCTGGTTTAAGTAGGAATTTTTCATATATAGTAGGCTTAGACACAGAGCCTGGTAAATAGAGTATTTTGCATTTGGAAGGCAAAAGTAATTTATGAAATTTTAACATTTCTTTTTTCGTTATAACACAAAGAGCTCAATGTATTCCATTTAAAATCTGTGGCAAATTTTCCATTGACTTCTGTGGTAACTCTGAAGGAATAACACCAGTAAAGGACAGGGGAAGAAAGAATGATCACTGATTTTTCTAAGGGTTCAACTTTTCACACTGTTGGTGCTGTGGCACTCACAGATTTAAAAACATGCATGACCAAAACAGTTTTATATTTGCTCTTATTGCATTTTGGTAATACTTTAAAATTAAGAGAAAATTTTGCTTACTCCTTTCCACAGTCAGATCAGTAAATTTTTTTATTTTTATTGTCAGCAGTAAAATTTGCATATTTCCCCTTAAGCCATCTGTTCAGAGTAATTGAAAACAAACTCTGATATTTCAAAGTAATTTTTAATTTTTTGAAGTCTGAGCGATTCATAGTGACGGCATGCAACAGGTATCTGTTAACTGAAAGGTTCTGTGTTCTATTTCTCTCTTTAAAGAATAGTCTGTATCTCTGATATGAAATTCCTGCTCATCCCTAAAAATAGGAATATCTCCTCCTTGGAGGCTACCCCTACTTGTGGACAACCAAGTCTTTCTTGACACCTACTCTAAATACAATAGCTTTAGGTAACAATAATTCTGGTGCGAATGTGAACTTCTACAGCTACTAAATTAGATAAATGAGTAGCAAAGTGACACAGCTATTTAAAAACAAACAAACAAAACAAACAAAACAAACAAAAAAAAAAAACCCAAGCAAACAACAACAACCAAAAAAACCACCACACAAATAAAACCCCAAACCTACCCATTTCCTCATCTGCCCTTAAAACCAAGTGGTGGTTAAGCACAGTACATTGGATTAACCTTAGTTTATACCAGATTAACTCCAACTGATGTCTGCCATTTCAGGAAAACTGATAATTTATCTGTGTAAGACCTTGAATCAGTCTCTCCAGCCCCAATAAGTAATCTGGGAACTCTCAAGTGTCTGCATTTGAGATTCTTTTTCAAGGATATCCTTAGGAGTCTGAATGATTCATGATTCTTATACCTAGTGATAATCACACACATTCCTAAAGCATAGTAACATGAAGCATCAAAAGATACATTATTATAATGAAAACAATTTTAGTATTCCTTTCACTCTGTGGATCTTTTTTATTATAAAAAATGCCTCATCCCAAGTCTATAGACTTTGTCATCAGTTTCACTGAAGTGTAGCCATGAGCCCATAGATGATTTATACCTAAGTACCATATACAGCAAGGAAAAACTGCAGTCATGCTTTTTGCACTGTAGTTATGCAGAGAAAAGTTGCAGAAAAAAAAAGTTATGCAGAAAAAGGTCTGTAGTATTAATTATACTAAGCAAATTTTCCTCTTTTCTCATTGGTAATTTCAGATCTTTTAGATCCTGGGAAGATTCTCCTGCTTTTCCTCTTGTTTCTGACTCAGCTGCTTTCACTTTGTGTTCTGTTTTCTGACTATGGAAAGACCCACAGTTCAGAACTCTTGAAATCTAATTTCTCCATGGTTTGGGCATGCTTGGGTTTAGCACCATAGCTCTGGCTTTTGACTGCTCTTCAAATGCTGCATGAGAGAGCCTTCTCAATGCTGCATTTCAGGTGTGGTGTCACACCTCCCTGAGTTTATTGGGTTCTGGAGACTTGGATCCTTGTCTCTGACTGTCCTCAGCTGATTGCCTCCTCTGCATCTTTGTCCTTTTTCTGCTGAGTCTTTCTCTGAGCCTTGTCACAAACGTCAATAGGCCTGGAATTTAGCAATCAAAATGGCATGCCTACACATCTAGTTATAAAGCTGTGTAGTCCAGGAATAAAATTTAATGCTGCCTTCAGGGCAGTAGGCAGTGCTGAGGAGGAGTGAACCAACACAAAGCCAGCAGCCTGCCTGTTCTGTACTGAGGTGATGCTTCCAGATGACCACCCAGGAGAGGCTCTTTGAGAAAGACCATGTGCTGGGCCTGACAGGAGAAGCAAATTATTTCTGGAAACAGAAAACCACTCTGACAGGTGCAATATCATGGAGCATATCTTAGAAAGAGCAATGGACAGAGAGACAGTAAAGATCACAAAGGACTTGCAGCAAGTCATTATAAAATACTAGTGCCACATTGAAGGACATGCTGGAATGAATTCCCTACCATACTGGAGGAACACTGCTTGTAGTCATAAAAATATAAACCAGTCTGTGTTTTCTGCTGGCTTTGTTTCTTCCTTTGAACTGAATATTTTACACCATATGTCAGTTACTGAATTTTAAAAATATTTTCCCAAAGAGAAGAGCTGGTAAAGGTCCTTTATTCTCTGAAAATTGTGGAAGTCAAGCATAGTTTTCTACTAAGAGTACAACAAATTTTGCATTTTATTTATAAACCAGCTAATAGTTGTATGCTGTTAATGGGGTTTTCAAAAATAAAAACAAAAAATAAAATCAACCAGCAAAGATGCCATTTACAATGAGCCTGCTTTATAATTAATTCTGAAAAAATAACTCTGTGTATCAGTTCAGAAAAGCTCTTATGGGAGTGAAGAAACAGATTTCCTAGTTGCTCTTTACTTCTCTGCAAACATGTATTTCTATTGTCTGGGGTTAACAACTGCCAGCAGAAATGTTTGCTAAAATGATATGCAGCATTTAACTGGCTGTGAACATACTGTGCCAATTCCTGAGTTGTAACTTAATTTCTTGAGGATAATACCGAAAGCTTTATTTTGTGCATTTTCTTTTCCATCTAATACATACTACATTAAATATCTGCAGTTATCCTTTGGATTTTTATGTTGATTCAAAATATGCACTTGTTTCCAGAAAAGGAAGTTTATTATCATAATAGTAAAAAGCATAAAGGTGAGCTGAAATGAGTAGTAACAACTCAAGGTTAGCACCTGAGTCCTTGAGGTCTGGGATCTGTTCTTGAAGTTCCAGGTAGATTTAATGTGTGTATTTTTATTTTAAGGGTTCTTGCACAGGTCACAGGCACAGTCCTATTTAACAGATCTGACTCAGAGTCATAATCATAGTTTGAGGGGGAACAGATTTTTCACAAGTGCAGAATCTGGGAAAAGCATTTAG